AGCATTAATTTCGGCAATACGCGGAATCTCGCAGTCAAGCCACTCAGCAAAAGGCGCAACTGTTCCTTATCGTCCTTGATTCCGACCTCCTAAGTTTCCCCAGTTTTTTATTTCCATTTCTCTCCCTCTCAAAATGCCTCCTAAGTCCTCTCAACCGCAACCCAGATTCGCCGTGAGGTCGTCCGGATGCAGCGAGGACGGCGAGGAGACTTCGGCGGCGGGCCAGAACGAGACGCAGCTGGGCGTCGTGGGCGGAGAGAACCTACTGCGTGCCCTGGCTGCGTGCTGGGCGTCCCTCTTCGCCTTTCAGAGCGTCGAGTACCGCAGGTATTTTACCCTCTTACTCCTTCCGCCTTCTGTCTGTCTGTCTGTCCCTCTGTCTGCCCCTATCTTCCCTTCTCTCTCCCTTCTCCGCCCTTCCCTCCCTCCTGCTCCTTCTATGCTCTCTCCATTTTTCCGAGACGCTTATTCTCTTGGGACGAGGTTAAGTAAGAAATATATCTATTTGTCTTTAAAAACCTCATGTATTATTTCAGATGTGACTCTTTTTATGTATCCATGAACATTTTACTGCATTTTAGGGCGCGAAAATTACAGTCAACCTAATATTTATTTATTCATATGAATGCCTCTATTCAGCATTATGACAAACAACAGACACAACACACAAACACAAACAACACACACACACAACACACACACACAACACAACACACACACACACACACACACACACACACACACACACACACACACACACACACACACACACACACACACACACACACACACACACACACACACACACACACACACACACACACACACACACGTTATAGAGTATGCCCTACCTTTGACCCGTGTGCAGGCAGCGTGGGCAGGCGGTGGATGGCGGAATGGGCGTTGTGGTCCAAGAGATGGTGGAAGCAGAGGCCGCTGGAGTCCTGTTCAGCCTCGACCCCGTCACCGGCAGTCCGGCCAACATCACCATCACCGCTAACTATGGACTCGGCGAGGTTGGTCGTCCTCGGACTATGGCTCGAGCATCTTATGGGTCGTTTGTAGCGTTGTTGTAGATGCTTATTGCGCTTAGTTGTTAACCTTTAGAATAGTCAGTCCATGTATATTTTAGGACATATAGAATGTTATTATAGATATCCTTAAACAACGATAAGGTAGATTCTACATAAGTTTAGCAAAAACGCAGAAACTTTCTAAATACAGTCTGAAATATATGAGACGCAGTTGAATTTTAAAAATGAACAAATACCCTGCCCTAAAAGACCATTTTGACCCAATCTGACCCGATTCCGCAGAGCGTGGTGTCAGCAGCCGCAGAGCCCGACACGGTGACAGTGACAAGGTCATGGCGAGACCAGCTGGCAATAGCATCCCGTAGCGTCGGTGAAAAGAAGGTCAAATGCGTCATGAAAGGTGAATATAAGGGGAGTCGGGGATAATGAGGCGTGTGGTGTGTTGAGCCACAAGTATGAGGTATAAGTTGAGTGTACAGTGCGCATTATAAGGGATGTGTCAAAGCTTTGGTAAATAATATTGTCTGATTATCAGAGGCATACGATGTGACCAGAGAAAGTTAGAACCTGTCATAGATGTTGATAATGGCGACAATGATGATAATAATGATAAGAAATACAGGAATAACGGGAATAACAACAATGTGAACAGTAACGATATTCGACAAGAATCACAGAAAAAAATTGGAAACATTACGAAAGAGAGAGGAAAAAACTGTCGTGTTCCAGAGGGCGGCGGGACCCTGGAGGAGGAGGTGCCGTCAGGAGAGCGGGAGCGCGTGTGTCTCTCGGACGACCAGGCCCTGAAGCTGGCTCGCCTCGCGGTGTTCCTCGAGCGTGCCTTCGGGAGCCCCAGAGACGTGGAGTTCGCCGTGGCCAAGGTTTGTGTCCCGGGGGCGTGTGGCGGCGTCGGTGGCTTGTTTCCCTCTGCTTTCAGGAATCCCTTTCTGTTTGTCTAACTCTGTCTGTTTCTTCCTCTCTCTCTCTCTCTCTCTCTCTCTCTCTCTCTCTTCTCTCTCTCTTCTCTCTCTCTCTTCTCTCTCTCTCTCTCTCTCTCCTCTCGTCTCCTCTCTTCTTTCTCTTTCTTTCTCTTTCTCTTTCTCTTTCTTTCTTTTTCTTCTTCTCTTTCCCTTCTTCTCCTTCTCCTCTTCTCTCCTCCCTCTCCTTCTCTTCTCTTCTCCCTCTTCTCTCTCTCTCTCCTCCCCTCCCCCTCCCCTCCCTCCCCTCCCTCCCTCCCCCTCCCTCCCCCCCTCCCTCCCTCCTCCCCCCCTCCCTCCTCCTCCCTCCTCCCTCCTCTCCCTCTCTCCTCCCTCCTCACTCCTTCTCCTCTCTCCTCTCTCTCTCTCTCTCTCTCTTCTCTCTCTCTCTCTCTCTCTCTCTCATTCTCTCTCTCTCTCTCTCTCTCCTCTCTCTCTCTCCCTCTCCCTCTCTCAAGACTCTCTCTTCTCTCTCGTCTCTCTCTCTCTCTCTCTCTCTCTCTCTCTCTCTCCTCTCTCTTCTCCTCCTCTCTCTCTCTCTCTTCTCTCTCTCTCTCTCTCTCTCTCTCTCTCTCTCTCTCTCTCTCTCGCTCTCTCTCTCTCTCTCTCTCGCTCTCTCTCTCTCTCTCTTTCTCCCCTCTCCTCTCTCTCTTCTCTCTCTCTCTCTCTCCTCTCTCTCTTTCTCTCTTCTCTCTTCTCTCTCTCTCTCTGCTCTCTCTCTCTCTCTGTCTCTATCTCTCTCTCTCTCTCTCTCCTCGTCTCTCTCTCCGTCTC